TTTCAAAATTCATCTATGGCCGTTAACTGGGAAATATACGATAAAAAGACAAACAAATCTGTTGCTTTATTTCATCTTTTGGTGAACAATTTCACGTGAACAATTTCAATATGTCCAACAGTTCCAAGCATAAAAGTGGTTCAGCGGCTTAACTGAACCCTTCGCTTTAGGAAACACACGTTGATGCTTTCATTGTCACGCGTCCACCTCAGCATATCTAATGATTGCAACTAACTGAAAGAGATTCATGGGAACATTCGGAGAGAAGCTCGCAATTTCATGGAAAACATTTCTTTTAGTTATCCAATTTTCTTCCAAAGTTCTGGTGGTAATGAAATTGGGCCAAGTCGGCCAAAGAATGCGACCACACTATAACATAACCCGAAGTTAGAAGTATATTCATTTTGTCAAAACGTTTGCTTCAGAAACCCCACAAAGTATTCGTGGATTCAGCATCAAACTTTTGAACGTTTTAAGCATGTACGTCTGTCCGTTTCACTATCTGCCTGCTTGTGTAAAGTTCGTTGTAAAAAACTGTTTGTGCAAAAATGAAACTTTCGGCTTTAAATTTGGCAGGAAGTTCTTGAAGGTAGGTTGGTATTGAAATTGAACCACATCGGGCAGACAATACGACCGCAGTACAGATTGTGACATGGGTTTCACGTGGGTGCCTGCCTTGACGGCTTAATCCCACGGTGGCCCAACCCACGCGGGTTATTTAAGCGTAACCCAGACCCTCTGGCGAGTTAGACAATCCCTATAAACTAGGGGCCTAAACGGCACCAGAGTCCACATTGTTTATTGTGTATGGCTCAATAAGCCCACTCTGGTCAGTGTTGAGGCCTAGCCGCACTTCGATTTGTTCGGCTTGTTTGGCTTAAAACGGTGAATCCACAACCACCACGAGTAGTCCCCGAAGGGCCGCACCCAAGCAGTCGGGGCTCACAAATTGATCAACTTTATGCGTTCAAAAGGGAAAAATGCGCTCGTTTCCACCGTAGTTTCCACAAAGCGCAGTTGATCAATTACCACCATTACCCGCAGGCATCCATGAATGTAGAATTTAAAGTGTAAAATAGGTAAAAGGGGAGAAAAGCCTACCGTCAAATCCCTTTTATATCATCCATAATTATATGAGAAAATTCTTATTTTTAGTTACGACTTTAAATTCTTAAGTCCATTATTAACCCGCAGGCACAGATGGCTCTATTGTGAGCGGGCTCCTGACCCCCGTGGCTCCCATGTTTAGACTGTAAAGCATTGCTTTACGTGGCTGAAACAGAGTCAGACCACTCTTGCCTTTGGATTAACTATACAATCCCGGTTAGCCAAAACCGGACTACCCTTCATCGAGATATTTAAGCTTCGGGCATTGCACTGACATGGCGGGCGAACTACCATGCACTCACTAACTACTACCTCTACGTATTTTTACGTAACCAGTTACTAGCTGGTTTATGGTTAAAATTTCCTTGGTAGTAATTAGCTTTCTTGAGTATAGAGCTCATCTTCCAGTGAACTCCTACACCATCTCTCAGAAAACTCGTCGCCGAGTTATAAATGGTCCAAAGCCTTAAACCCTTCTTGGCCGGCCGAAGCCGTTGTCCAGGGATCACCACAAGGAGGTGAGGGTTTCGGCACATCTATGCTTCCCTCTAAAGCGCAGTTATCACCCCACGACCGCAGTATAACATAATCTGAGACGACCTCTGCTTACAAAATTTAAAAAAAATTGTTTTTTTTTTTTTGTTCGTTACAAAGGATGTTTGAATCGCAGCCAAATACAATTTTCTTGCTTATTATATTATACACTTGTATTTTTTTTAATCACTCCGTACACTTTCTACACGGAATGTGTAATAGAAATCGATTTTAAATTTATGGCGAATAATTTACCGGAATTACTCACTTATAGTTATTTGACAGTGTCAGACTGTAGGGCAAGAGAAAGGGGAAGAGGAGAAAACGTGAGCGATGTCGCATTACATATCACTTTCCTTCCCTCTACAGTGAAGCTTAGGATTTTAGATACTTTAAGTAGTAGCAGTTGTTACCAATAATAAGTATGTGTTTTGTGTATTATCAGTAATGAATGTTGCAAAAAACATTTAGGAGACTTCGTCCCCTTATTATTATGATTAGTTGACGATAAAAGAAGTCAATCATTTAATTAACGATAAAAACTTGAGTTTTAATAGTTATCCGCAGCATGTATTTATCATATCACGCAAATGTACTTTTTCTCCATCCCCTCCTCCAAGTCAAACTGTCGATTTTACATTTTACATTCAATTCAATGTATACGTAACTCAATACGTATCTTATGGTTGTTTATTATTTTACTATTAGTAATTAAAAAATTGCGCATAATTTTTAATTGGTTCCTGTTGAGAAAAGAAAAAAATAATGATAATATTATATGTAAACAAATAAAAAATTATTATAATTGGCTGTGATGGAATCTTTTATACCCAATACCTTTTTTTATTTATATATATTATTTTCATTCCTCGCCCGTCCGATCGCAAAGCGAACTGCAGACCGTGACCCCGGAATGTAACCTTACTTGTTAGTTTCAGTAGGACTTGATCATTAGAGTACAGAGTGTTCTTAGACGTTATAGAATAGAAGTACGTACTACTCACGCTAAATTCAATCGAGTTATGGTCATTATATTGGCTTCACAATCTTCGAATGGAACCATTGTTACCGTAGCGTATTCTATTGATTTACATTCGAAATATTCGAAAATCTCTTGACACTGGCTATGGAATTGTATTTATTTTAGATAGTAAGTACCCGGGGTGTAGGATATGTCATGCAAAAGCATTTGAGGAATAGAACTACAAATAAGGCTCCATTGTTTGCCGATCGGCCCCACCGGAAGACTTTCTTAAAATTGTCAGATGCAAAACGTAATATCGTAAGTTTCGCCTTGAAATAATCATGACGCTTTATCAGCATAAGAAAGAAAAAAAAAAAAAATGGACCAGGTTCGATCCATTATTATGGATTGTTAATTTTTGTGATCGGGAGATTGCTTACTCCCCGCATAACATACATGGGTAAAGGAGTTTTCGGACAGACAAACATAACTAGATCGTTTCCAAATTTGATTCTAGTTAAAAATCTGTATACTATATATACGTCCCCCTATATATATATACATATATATGTCAAATAGTCTTCTTATATATATATGTATATGTATACTATACTGTATATAGTGTCTTTCAAGTCCTCGACCCGGGATTATTGCAAACATTTTAACGAAATGAATATACCTCCATTCCTTCAGTGATGGGTATTAAAAACAAAAAAAAAAACCTCATCTCATTAAGTACAATGAACGAGTAATGTATATAAATTCTATTTTATAAGCGCAAGCATGTGCTGCTGGCATATTGATATGATCCGATGATATTGTTTGCTGCGTTTTAATCATAAGCGTAAATGTGCGCCTTTGCCTCGTCTTTTGAGTTGTAAAGTGCAAAGCTATATAAAAAGAATTTTTCTTTTTTTCAATCAAAGCAAATGCTCCCGCGAGAATATGCAAGAGTGACATGGTTGTGCAAGTTTCTTATATATACATATATATATATATATATATTCTGATATATATAACATATATATATATTTATATATTCTGATGCATGTCATATATCAGATATATGTGCACTTGTGTATACATGGATGTCCGTAACCATATATGTATGCGCGTATGTATATATGTATGTGTGTATGTATATACATACGTAAACCAGGGTTGTCTGAACAGTTTGCCCGCGAGTTAAGTAAAGATTTTTTTTTTTAAATTTCGGCTTTATTCATGAACTAGTATACCGTTACCTTCAAGAATGATGCAAGCAGTCGACATATATACTTTCTATATAGAACCCTCCAAATAAGCCTGAATTTCCATAATGACCTCCTCATTTAATCTGTATTTCTTTCTGAAGAGCATTCTTGCGAGATTTGTTGTTGTAGCCGTTAACTTTAGCTGGCAAGGTGGCAAGTGGAGCCCTTTTTCATGCAATTTTACCGTTGTAGCCCTCGTTTAATTACTCAGTTTTTTTGTTTGTTATAAGAAAACGTGGAGTCAATTTTCTCAAACATATATATTAATCCAGTAGTTCCTTAGTCTTGCTTTTTCTTTTTTTTTGTTGCGACCAACCCCTCAGGGATACTCGTGACCCTTGTTCGCGTAACTCGGTAACGGTCAGAAAGAAATCAGGAAAGAGATAAATATATAGAATGATCGTTGCCTAGTAGGTCTTTGTGTCCAATCGCCAAGAGTTAAGTCTTCACCGGCTAAGCACTTGCCACAGCTACGACCATAATAACTAACTTCTATCGTAATCAGGTTTGAAACTGTGGCCATGGACTTGGTAGTCGCGATTCTTACTTACTCGGCTACTCGTGCAATATGTCAAAATGAACGCCGTCATGAACATTGATCGCTACCCAAGTGGCTGGTATTCACAGCGTTCAACTCGTCTTTAATTTCCGTAGGTACACGACATTTCAAAAACGTGTACTGACGGCTTCCCGTATGTTCACTTATTCTCCTAAAAAACTCTCTGGTCGATACATGCACGAACATATTCCGCAACTTTTGCGGACAAGTGCTGCTGTCTTGCACGCTCATGTCGGAGACTTTATATAACACCCTGCGTATTTATTTATTAAAGCATTTACGTGCGTATGTAAATGCGAGCTGCATGGATACTTGAATGCCTAGCTCTCTCTCCCTCTCTCTTTGTCTTTATGTCTGTCCGTTTCATCAAACTATTAAAAGTGCATTTCCTTTGTGTATAAATGTTGTGTTTGCAATTGATGTCACGCTGCTATCATATGATTGGGGGAGGAGACGGGTTTTAATAAAGGAAAGATGCATAAACACATACATAGATATATTTATTTATTTAAAAATACTTATATTTTTAGTACGCATACGTACGAGCACAAGTGTTTACATTTTATTATATTATCTCTTGCAGGTGGTCATAACGACATGATGACACGCTACAGCAGCGAAGATGTCTCCGGCAACGAATTAAATGAATTGCCAAAAATGACCGAAATCGAACGTCAAGCCAATTTCAATCGTCATAAGGAGGAAATGCAACAGAAGCGTCGCAAAAAGAAGCGCACCAGCTCCTCATTACATTCAACTACTTTTCAAGGTAATATTACAAAGCCAATATAAAGTTCATTCTTTTTTTTTTTTTTTTTTTTTTTTGTTTGCAACTTAAATTAATTGGTCTCGTAGGTAAATACCATCAAAGCAATGCCAAATTAATGTCGCGGCGTAATCAACTCCGGCCAACAACTTAAAATTAATCCAGAGTGTTTTACCTAATAATAAGTTATATGATTTTCTGTCTCCCCCGTCTGATCATTTTCAACATTTTTACATCCTACACTGCTTGTGATACAAGAGCATATTAAGTTTGTGTGGATGTATGCATCACCCAGAAGGGCTTGAGATAGGTCCATGGACCGATCCATTTATTATACCGCTCGATTCAGATGCGTTTGTCTGTCCGTCCGATTGGGTTCTATTCAACCCGCAGCCCTATAATTTTTAAAGATATTTTGATGAAATTTCTTACGCCAACAAGTTTAAGTTTGTGTGTGGATGTATGCACCATCCAGAAGGATTTGCACCAGTTAGGACCATTTACCGACCCACGGATTATAACTTTCCATTCAGAATCATTTGTCTGTCCGTCTGACTGTCATCTATTCTTGTGTTCAACCCCCCGGTCATGATTTTCGAGATTTGATGAAATTTTGTACCCAAGGACGTGCGCTATTGGTAACGGTTCGAATCGGGCCAACTTTTCGACAGTTTCCCCTCATGAGGCCTCTCTTTGAAAAGTCGCTACATAAATAACGGAAAGATGATGTAGGGTACTTAACGGTGGTGGGTCATGGCCCGCTATAGTGTTTCCACTTGTTTCTTTCTAACTCCAATCGTAAAGTATGACGATCCATTCTTAGAATATCTCTTTTATTCGAAAATCCAATAATGACAGCAGCTTTTCCAAATTTTTCTCATCTTAGAAAAAAAAAAAGAAGAAATAAAGAGATCACAGCTTAGAAAATGAGTGATGATCCATTTATTTACTTGGGAGTCTTTTTATCCCACTCGACATGAAGTGGACTCACATGTGAAAATACAATTACGCTCATTGTTGTCACTTTATAAGTTAATGGCACTCAACTGATTTTGAATCGTAATAAGCTTTTTATTCGTTACAACACGTTCAACGAATCGCTTGTGATCGGCTTGTGCATAGCAAAATAAATGCCAATAAATATAAGGAAGAAGTGAATAAATGATATAAATGAAGCAAAACAAAAAACAAAGCCAAACAAATTATTTTTAATTTATTAAAATGTCAACTGAAACAATTGAAATATGAACGTGTGCAGATCATAACTGATGAAATTTATAAGCTTTTGTGCTGCTTTACGCGAAATTTGTGTGAAATATAAAATTCTGCATATTCTGACAATGGCCGCTACAAGACAGAGTGATCAGAAGCGCGTACCCCTTTAGCGATAATTAAAGCAAGTAAAAAGACTACAATGAGAGACAGCTCACCATTATATACCCTACACGACCTTGGTTACTTTTAACTACTTGCTTACTTTTCCAAAAAGAAAGCCTTATCTTCAAAGTGGTCGAAAAAGTGATCCGCTCCGAATCACTTTCAGTAGCGTTCGTTCTTGGGTATGCAAGATTTTATGAAAATGTCGTGAAAATTATTCTCTGTATTTTTTTGCTGAGTCGAAAGTTTTCGAGCAGTTAAGAACTGATCAGATTGCATGGAACAGAATGATAGAGGGAATGATAGAATGATAAGGCCTTCGATGCTGTGTATCATAATTTGCTCTTAAAAAAGCTGTTATCTTGCTTTGGCTTTGGTCCGGTGGCAGTCAAGCTTGTTTGGTCTTACCTTGATAACCGGTATCAGTGCGTGAAAGTCGGCGGCTACGTCACTGGTACACCCAAAGGATCTGTATTTGGGCCCATATTGTTCATTAACGACCTAGTTACTTGTTCTCAAGGTTGCAATATTCACGCAGACAGACGATGATCAAATTTCGCCCATGGGGACTGGTGGAGGATCTGATTCAACGAGTTAACGATAATTTGGATCATATCTCGCATTGGTCCGACGTCAATAATTTAAACGATGAAACGAGAGCGATCACGATATCACCCAACGTTTTTGATTCCGAGCATCTACCTAATATTAGAATGGGCAGTCAAAATAATTTAATGATCTCAAAGGGCCCACAAATTTTCAACGAAAAACTCAGGCTAGGCTATAATAAGCTTATACTACACGTGATGCAAGGATTTATTAAGTTTTTGCGAATATATGCATCGCGGAAGGACTGGATGTAGATTCATCCTTTTATCATACTAAACGATCTAATAAGCTTGTCAGTCCGTCCAGTATCCTTGTGTTCAATCTGCAGATCGCAATTTTTGGTATATTTTGATGAAATTTGGAAAGGACGAAAGCTATTGAAAATGGTTCGGATCGAAACACTCTTTCGACCAATTCCCGTATAATATATAATTTTGAAAAAGCATTATATGTATAACTGTAGGGTGATATACGGTATTTAATGGTCGGCCGTGGCCCATAGTAGAATTACATTTTACATTCGATACCGGAAAAAACTCGTAAATTAATGAAGGCTGTCGGTCCACTACGCGTAGCCATCAACTCAATATTAAAAGTTATGGTAGACTCGGCGTAAACCGCATTAAACTGACCCTGGTATTGTTCAGCGGCCAGCACTTAAAAAAGAAGCATATACGATTTTACTCTTCTTAATTATTCCCTTTCTGCATTTTTGGCCCTTTTCCCTAGGGTAAGCTCATTTGATTAAGATTCGTCGTAGTATCTTTTTCCCATAGAACTTTTCAGTATACTTCGGTTATAGATGGCAAATCCAATAATAGATTCATGCTCCATTTCTCAGAAAAACTAATTGAGGAATTATTCTTATTAATCAACCTTCAATCTAATTTTTTAAAAATTTGTTGCTTTTTTTCTCCGTAGAATTGTATAAGTTAACTGGCGAAATCTTGGGTGAAGGTGCTTATGCTTCTGTGCAAACATGCGTTAACGTCTATACTGATTTAGAATATGCTGTTAAAGTTATCGATAAGATACCCGGTCATGCCCGAGCACGGGTATTCCGTGAAGTGGAAACATTCCATCATTGTCAGGGACATCCAGGCATTTTGCAATTAATCGAATTCTTCGAAGACGATGAAAAATTTTATTTGGTATTTGAGAAAATCAACGGCGGCCCATTGCTAACACGTATACAAGAACATATTTGCTTTTCCGAGCATGAAGCCGCTCAGATTATTAAGGAAATTGCTTCCGGCTTGGATTTTTTGCACAAGAAAGGAATTGCTCATCGTGATCTTAAGCCAGAGAATATTTTATGCGTTTATCCGGACAAATTATGTCCAATTAAAATATGTGATTTTGATTTGGGTTCTGGCATAAAATTTACCACCGACATATCATCGCCGGCGGCAACCCCGCAATTACTTACACCGGTAGGTGAACGATAAAGAGAAAGAAAACATCTGCATCTCCTACACCGCATTCGCAAGTGTAATGAAAAGAACTAAAGAAAGGAAGTGTTTTAATAGGTTTACCTTAACGCGGTAAAATTCGATTTAATTCGATTCGATCGACTAGACATCCCTTACCGAGGGATGAGGGTCTAAATTCATCTATCGAAACGTTTGCAACGACCAGAAGAGATCTTCATGGGCCGTACTAGGTATAATATATGCTTGATCAGTATCAATTTCTGAATCGATTTAAGCATGTTCGTCTGTCCGGCTTTGTAATGTCTGTTGCAAACATTGTCTTGGCCGCAAAAACCAAGCCATCGACTTGGAATTGAACAGGAATATTGGAAGTTCTTGCGCGATGGTGGGTTTCAAAAATGTTTCAAACCGGTCGGAAAACAGGCCTGCAGTGATACGTAAAGTAAAAACACCTCCCTCTCTTTAGAAAAAAGAGAAGTTAAGAAATTTGTACTCGCTTATGACCGAATTTCTTATACCCATCACTGACTGTCATCGTACAAAAAAAGTTACAAGAAAGCATCATCGAAATAACCCTATAGTATTGGATAGCCGTGGTCGATTTTTCCTATTTTTTTTAAATAATCCGTGAAATTTATATCGCGTATTCGTTGTAGGTTATGAGCAAAAAGCACCTAAAGAATTGTAGCCTGAGAATGTGGGCATTGTAGGCGTGTCATTTAAGTGATTTTGATCATTTTCAAGTTATGTTACAAATTTATAGGCGATATCATCATTCTTGTAAACGGGAGAATGTGTGCAGCGTATGGCACATGCTTGATTAGGCGGACAGATGGACAAGCAAACAGAGAGATATGCTTACGTGCATTCCGAATTTCATACTCGTCAAGAGTATACGCATTTGATAGGGTTTTTGAAGCTTGTTTGTAGGCGTTCTAAAAATCTTGACAAAAAAGTTAAATTTTAATACAATACCACACCAGGTAGACAATTTTTGCGTAGTTACCACAGTATCGCCCATAGAAGATACGTTCAAGTATTTATAGACTTACCTGCTGTAGTTTGTGAGTATTGAGAAAAAAAAAAAAACATTTTTTTTTTTTTTTTCAGAAACAGATTTCTTTTCAGTTTAGGTGGTACCGTAGACGGGTCCTTCGGCCGATTTTGTCCATTTCCAATATCAACCTATATGCAAGAAGTTAAGTCAAATTTGAAGGTAGTTGTTTCATTTTTGCGGCCGGGAGAAGTAGTAGACATTACAGAGAAGGACGGATTGACATATTTAAATCGATTCAGAATTTAGTGCTGACATAAAATTGACATGCTTTTTGGGGTCTCTGAAGGTTCTTTTTCTGGATGTTTCAGGCGTTTTATTAAAATTAATATACCCCGTATCCTACAGTGACGGGTACATAAGAGAAAAAAATCAAGAGAAATTCAATTTTTAATACCTTTGCACGTTAGATGACCGCGGACGATTATTTCCCATTACTGGCAATGTAGAATACCCTTTCCTTCATTAGTAGCCCTCTGAGATTTTAGTTAAATGAAAATATCGAAAAAATTAACCATCGATATCAGTAGTAATCAGTAATCAATGGGACCAAACTATCACCTCTCAGTACCGTACGTTAACATCTGGGATTAAATTTAATTGTATATATATATATATATTTAATAATTATCTTGTATATATTACCCGCGGCACTTACGATAAATCCATAGATATTTTCAAATTGTGAATGTCTGGTGTAGGTGGACTGCAGTGCCGGTAAAGTAACAAAAATTTTTCGATTTTTAAGTAATAATTTTCTATATTCTCTCTTACTTCTCTTATTCCTTTTATTTAATAATAGGTGGGCAGTGCTGAATTTATGGCACCAGAAGTAGTTGATTTATTTGTAGGTGAAGCAAACTATTACGATAAACGTTGCGATCTATGGTCTTTGGGTGTTATAGCATATATATTGCTTTGCGGTTATCCACCATTTTCGGGTAATTGCCAACAAGATTGCGGTTGGAATCGTGGTGAAAATTGTCGCACCTGTCAGGAATTATTATTTGAGTCCATACAAGAAGGTAAACTACATACTACTACATTATTATTAAGTTAGTGCAAATATTAATGAGAAAAACATTTTGTTTTGCGTTTAGGACGTTTTTGTTTTCCCGACCCCGAATGGACAGATGTTAGCGAAGAGGCCAAAGATTTGATACGCGGTCTTTTAGTTAAAGAAGCACCGAAACGCTTGAGTGCCGAGGCTGTTTTAAATCATCCTTGGATCAAAATATCGGAAGAAGAACCACCCAATAGTCGTAAAATGGAAAATCGACTTAAAGCTTTACGCACCGCCGGCAATATACGGCGGTATGTTTCCAACACGAAATTTGTTCATTGTTGTGGCTGTGTGTGTGTTATTTTAGTTATTGGTTTTTTTTTTTTTTTTATTTCTTTTCTTTAGCAATCAATCGGCTCGTGAAATTTCACAATTTGCTGAGTCCGCAATGGCTGTGAAACGTGTCATTCTGCAACACTTCTCTATGCGTTACGATTACTTAAAGGAACGTCCGAATATTTATCAACCTTCACAAAATTGTGTAGACGCCGGCGAAATGAAAATGAATTTATTTACGCCTCGTTCTGTTAATGCGGCCGGTATTTCGATGATAGCGAACAAGCGTCCCTCTTACGGCCGTAACCTATTAAATACACGACAATCAATAAATAAGTATGGTAGTAGCAATGGTAATGGTAACGGTAATGGAGGTGATTCACGTTCAGGTATCCTTTCAACGCTTAATGTTTACGCTGAGCATGAACATGAGCACGATGATGATTTAGCTGAAGACGAAGAATGGTGTGCTTTGGATTATTATGAGGACAATAATCATTATCAATGTGCCAATAATAATAACAAAAACAACAGCAACAACAATAATAACAATAATAATAATAATAATGAAATGAATGATCAACTCGAGGCTATAGAAAACTATCATTCATTGTGGCGTGATTTAGATGAAGAAGAAGATTTCGATGAGGCCGCTTATTGTCTGGATCATACGTTAAGAACAGTAACGCAAGATGACGAAGCAGGCGATAATGTTTCTAATGAAAATAATAATGAAAAAATGGAGGATCAAACAAAGGATTACGCCGAGTTTACAAGTTCCTGGAAACGTGATTATTATGATATCTACGACGATGAGGAAAATTCAGAATTATTGCTATTTAATAAAATTGTTGATACTGATAACGGTGAGGAACACGATGAACAAATGCAGGCTGTACAAGAGCAAGAAACAAGTCTTTACTTAAACCGTTATAATGATTGTAATGATGATGATGATGATAATAATTATGATATTGGGCATAAATACAATGACGATGATGACGACGACAACGACAACGACGACTATATATTGGAAAGTATTAGTGATTTAAAGGCAATGCTACCTGAAGATGATAACGTTGAGACTGGCAAAAATCTTAAAGATAATTATATTGTTAATCCCGATAATGATGATGATGATGATGATAATAATAATAATGATGATGATGATGATGAGAAACAAGTTGCAGTTCAACATCCAAAAAAAGAAGAGGACGTTAAAATTTCCGATTCCGTACCATCTATTAAGCCGACCATACATGTTAAAACAACAATTTCTCATAACCCACCAATTGATTCTAGTGAGGATGATGATGATGACGACGATGATGATGATGATGATGATGTTAATTATTATTATTATGATGACAACCATGATAACGTCAAAGGAGATGTTGAACAACAACTGCAACTTGTAAAGAAAGAAAAATCACCTTTAAATCCACAACGTTCGGTTTATTTTGATGTTGAAGACTCTTACCACAGTTACGATGCCGAACTTGAAGATGATGATGAAATGGAGGAATCTTTAGGAATGATTTTCAAAACTAATCGCAATAATTTCTCTAATGCAGGTTATATGAGACAAAAATCTATGCCGCACTATCGCCAACAGCCACAAAAGCGTTACAATAACAACGGCAATAGAAAACTTCAGGCTCAGCCTATTGAGAATTGGCGTAAACGCGGCAATAATCGATACAATTGCGGTGATAATCAGCAACAACAGCCATATCGAAAATATCGTTCATATTACAATAACGGTATGGCTGGAAATCATCAACGCAATTATTTAGGGAGTTTTTCCCATAGCGGCGGTCCACACTTAGCTCCTTTAGCACCTGTGGCAGCCCGTTCGAAACCTTTTGCTTTGCCCAATTATTATCATAACCGCCATAACAGCGCTGGCAGCAGTGGCGGTACACCACCCTCAGATGATGGTGATTATAATGCTATGAAATCACCATCGTCCCCTATACACAATTGGCGCAATGATTGTATCTACGCTTCGGCACGCAATTCGAACGTGAATCCGACGATTACCGCCGCACGAAAACGCCATACTCAACAGTCGAAACAACAACGACAACAACCGCCAACCTATCGCGTTAATCCGCCGCGCATTGGTTCGGGACGTTTTCCCGCACGCTCCTCAGAGCCTGGACACAATAATGCCAGCCAAACTGGTTTCTTGTTAAACGAAAATAAAAAGGCATTGCCATCGCTAGGTATCGGCTTATCGCCACCCAGTGAAAGTTTGTTAATGCAACGACGTCTACAACGCATGCAGCAGCAGCAACAAATTAATATCAACGACAACAATTGCAAATCGCCACAATATCAAAGTCAGCAAAATTTTTTAGGCAATGGCAACGATTTCATACAAACATCACAAGACTATAAGTCAGCTGCGGCCGCTAGTGGCTAGTAAGATTTCTTTCTGAAAGGAACATTTGTTATTTTCCACCATTTGGCAAATACCTAAAAAAAAAAAAAAAAACAAAAAAAAAACCAAAAACATAAAAAGTTTAAAGCTTGATAATTCCTTTTTCTTTTAAGAATTTGGCGAATCAACAGATGATTCAGTGTGAACACAAACTTCTTTGTTACCGATTAGTTCACGTAATAGTTGTTTGCGTTTTCTCACGTCCGCCACGTAATTATATTCGTTCTTTTAAGGTTTTTTTTTTTTTTTTGTTTCTGTATTTTATTTTATTTTTAATATAATACATTGTTTTTCCGTCCGTTCTATTTTCCTCCAGATTCGAGAATTTCTTCCTTTCCTATACACATATTTTCTTTGAAAGAAGCCAAAATTCTTTTCACGAATCTAAAAAGCATTTCAACAGCATAAAAACAAAGTTCTTTTTCAAAGATTTCAAAGATTTTCTTTTCAAGTATATATATAAATATATATATATAAATTGTGCGCCGTAAAAAAAAGTTTTTATTACAGAATACTATCCATTAATCGTCCATTTATGTCAACTCTTTAAAAAAGATCATTTATGGGCTACTTCTTATGGAGTTAACACATATCAAATAAAACTTTCAACTCCTTTTGTTATAAAAAATTGAAAAAAAGAAAAAAAAAAATGAATAAAAATAACATTTAGAAAAGAAGAATCTGGCAAAAGATCGTAAGAGAAAAGAAAAAAAATACAATAATTTTTCGAATACAGAGAAACTTTTATACACTCAGAGGAGCTCGATTAAAATCTTAAAAGTGCCATTAGCCGGATAAGTGATTGATTGAACATGTGCATTATAATTTCTTTGAACATTTTTTCTATTTATTCTAATTATTCTTCTTCAATTGTTGCCTCTAGTTATTCGTTTAATAATTTTAATATCTGTTCTACTTGATACTCATTTTCATTCAACTTTGTTTTATTTACCTCTTATTCTCAATTTCCACTCGTTAGTGCTGCTTCATTATTCACTTTAATTCGATCAATTAATCTTCGTTTCTATTGCCCTTTCTTTATAGTTCAATTCAATTTAATAGGTGGTAGTTGGCCTCTTCTGATATTTGAAATTTTGTAATGCATCAAAGCATAGGCCAAGCATTCCCATTGCCATTGTGAAGTGATTCAATATTTGAAAAGAAGAAGAAGAAGATCATAATATATTATTTTATAATATTAAAAAGATTTTGTTTCATTTTCTCCTTTCATTAAAAACATAAATAAGTAAATCTATAAAAAAAAATTAAAAAAAAAAGAAAGTGCTTGTGCAGACCTCCCTTCACCAACAATTATCGTGTTTGTGCTCTTGCGCAGCAACCTTCAAGCAACAAGTATCAAATCGAAAAATTTTGCGTTAAAGTGTGTAGTGTTTTTGTTACTAATGGGGAAGTTTCTCTTTTTTTTTCTTTTTTTTTTTTTGAAATTCATCAAAAAATAACAAAACAAAGACTTTCTCTCTACGATCTATTATTATCATGTCAATACAATAGTAATCATATAATGAAAAAAAAAAAAATTTTAAAATAATTAACAATAATAATAATGATTATTAAATAAAAAAATTATTATTGTTATTGTTTATCTTTATGCATAATACAGCTCCTGCACAGAATTCTCAAGTAGGAAGACACTATCAACACAAACAACAACTTTAGCATAGAATTCTCAACACTAAGAAAACACAATCCACACAAACAACTTCATCATATAGTTTTAAAAAAAAAAAAACACCTATAACAACATCAACAACCACAATACAACTTGAGTACATAACAGCTTAACTAAGACAAAATTGAAGGAAATTTCGACGACCAATAAGCAATAAAATTAAAAGAGAAGAAGAATTCATAATCTCAAAGTTTATCTTATCGTTAGCGAGCCTAATCCATTCATCTAAACAAAACAAAAAAAAATATATATATATATATATATATATTACTATTATTATTATCCTTTTATACTTTTAACTTTCTTCAAAAGTAATATTTTTTTTAAAAAATTTACCAAATTTTTCGGACTAGAAGACGCACCTTTTCACATAGAAAAACGGACTCACATTTTGGGTATGGTCCGAAGGTAACATTAAAATATTTTTTCAATAACTCGTCTCTACTTATGAAGTACATGAGGTACGGCAACAATAGTTCAGATGAAAATAATACGAACTGTGATATTAACGATACGAACACCGACAGTGAAAATGAACTGAATATTACTAGAACGAGTTATGTTAACAATAAATAAATATTTTGATCCGAAAGTAACATTAAAATATATTATTAAAATATATTTTTTTAAAAACCAGGTTAAAAAATTAAAAGTCCGAAAACAGTCCGAAAAATATCGTAATCAGTTATAGCGTAAAATGGTAGAAACTTTACTCTTTCATTGTATGTATGTACATTCCATTCGTGAAATTTGCTAATTATTCTCGAGTAGTCGCCAACAATTATCAACAAACAGTCTCAAGAATGTTGCCGTTTTCTGAATATTGTTGAGCATTAATCACGTGTTCGTACAATGCGCACATAATTCATATCCCATTGTTCGAGATCAGTCAATCGCGTTGCCATATTTTATTTTTCTCCGACTATTTTGCTTTTCACGTTTTCATGCTTTGCATGTATTTTGATCAGCGACATTTATTGGTGCAAATGATGGAAAGTCAATCAATGTAAACTATGGCTAAATTCGATGCTTTTTTGTCAACAAACACTTTGAGAAGCTTATTTTGATGCTGCTCCATCATATGCCAATTGCCGATTTTTTTCAAGTGAACAAAAGATAATCAAAATACATGCAAGTGTACAGCGAGAATACTATAAGTGAAAAAAAGACCCAGGAGTGTTTTGTTCGATTTCGTTACGGATATTTGAATGTCAAAAGTGAATCTCGCTCTGTTCGGCCAGTCGATGATATTTTGCAACACGTGTAGCAAGGCCGGCACCCAAGCTCAGGGAATAGTGGAGATACTAACTACATCACACCACATGACAGTTTGAAATTATTTGAAGCCTGCTCTGCCCGTGGAGACTTCTTATACCATCCATTATTTGACTTTTGCTTTTCGTAAGTGGTCCATGCATAGTTTCTCTACGGAATAGAATATCAGGCCCGAAACTTTGTATTGTTCCTTGTATCTTATGCCTATTAAGATAATACCTAATCTTTCCTTTGCATAAGCAATGGTTACATAGTTGCCTCGCTCGATAAGAATATCATTTTTTTATGTAAATTGAACGGCGAAAATAGTTGAAAGGTGATAAAAATAGTGATATATCATATCTTGTAATTATTCACTTTATGTTAGTTAGATTATAATGGATATATGTCCGATGGATCATGTCCGCCGCGTCTTTCTTTCATAAATTTTTGTAATTAATAGAAATTGTTATAAAGGTTATCACAGAGTGAATCAAATTACACGGGAAGAAGAAAATAGAGAGGTTACAACATTTTGCAATAATCAAATCTTTTTTTTTTTTTTATTTAATTTGTGAAAAAAAAGAAGAAAACTTTCGAATTTCTAAAGCTTTTAAAAGTAAAGCTCAACGAATTTCAAGGTTTTAAAAGCAAAAAAAAAATTACATACATTTTTTTAAATAAAGTGTAAAAATCGTAGAATTGACTAACAACTCAATGGTCGCGGGTTCAAATCTCAAGTGCGGTAAAGTTTTTAATAAAGCCGATGACCTTAGATTCAAGTCCTTTAAGACTTAGGCGTTAGAATTTATTTCTTCAACTAACTCAATAGTGATAACTATAATAATCGTAGAACTGAGAGCTCATACAGATAGGTATAGATAGTAAACATTACAATATGTGATCATTACTTGATAAAAACACTGATGTATTTTACGTTTAATCCGTTGATGTAAATGACATCTACACACGTCCATTGCAGTCTTATATTCTTAGTGTTACACAACAAAACAAAACAAGAAAGAAAAGGAAGAGTATTTTTGGAAGCACTCACTGATTCTGAAATGAGCGAAGGCAATTTTGTTCTTCGTTTAAGATAATTGTTGTTTAGAAGATTACTCCAATGTTTACTATGCAATTGCCTTTTGACTGACTTTATTCAAACTGTTGCCTACAAATTCGTATTCCATCGATTGCATTGATTGTAGTCCATTTGCTTTTCAATTCGATTTCATTTATGTTTTGAAGGAAATTGTGTTCTTATATTGACGTATTCGTTAGTGCATCTAATTCTCTTTTTACACGATAAATACGTTTCCGAAATATTCGTGTAAAAAAAGAGCAACGAAGGGGCTTTCGATTTCAATAAAATTAGCTTATAAGGAAGTTGTAATCTTTTATTGGTGTAATCATTAGTACGCCTTATTCTCTTTGACACGATACCCGACAAATTCGTGTAAAAAAAGATATTGCATCAAGACTTAAAAAAAGCTTCTTATAAATATAATAAACAAATTATTACAAAATTCTTCTTAAAGTTCACTTGAAAAATTCATCTTTAACCTATGCATAATTCTGAGAATCGAAGGTATAATCGACATAATCTAACTGAATTGTGAAAAATATAACGCAAAGTTTTATACCCATTTTTGTGACGAGTGAGATTAAAAAAATTCCTAGAATATTGAAAATCGTTTAAAATAAAACAATTCGTGTAAAAAGAGAATCAGTTCTTTTTAATTCATGTTAAATCAAATTTCGTATAAAAAGAGACTTAGATGTTCGTTGAAATATTGAAAGCATTTCTTTTAATGATTATACATGATGATGCAGACCAGGCAGCCAGGAAATTAATGAAGGTATTTTTGAGCTTCTTCTATTGTACCATCAGTCATGTGAAATTTTGTCTCAATTGTGTTTGCTCACTTTTTTTTTTTTCTCTTTCAGTAATAATGATATGGAAATTGGAAACTTGCTACAGGGAAAGGAAAAATATTCTATTAACCAACTTTTAAAAGTCGATAATCGATAGCTTCAAGTAGTAACGCGCTCGTCTTACTTAAGTCCGAGAATTCATTTCTCATTTAATTATGATAGCTAACTTTATAGAATAATTATTTTTAAGGAAACGATATTGTTGGCTCGTTAGATCTACATGTTTTTTTCTTTTACTATACTTCACCCTCTTCTTCATTTGTCGAACTAAACTACATGTATGGTGTGTAGAGGTTGTTGTACAAGGAAAGCTGATAGCAATACTACTACTATCATTTGACTGTATCGTGTGTTCTCATCCAACTATACTGGATCCGCGGACATGTTTTTGGATTCTTTCAATCTCTTCGCCAGCGTAATTCATAAGTAACTTCTTTGATCAGTTAGGCTAAAGATAAAAATTCCCCAATTCCTTGGTTAAGTCTACGTCGCTCTGGTTAACCCGTCTTAGATGGGTTCATCAGTCAAATTTGTCGCCATTAGTACTTTCCTCGGTTCTTTGGACCAGTAAAATTACAGCCATTGATTGCCAGATATTGGCCAAATGATCGCTGTGGTTCCCTAAAGTTGACTGGACTCCAATTCTTCCCGATTCATTGGCCGAAATCATATTAAGATACTTATGATGATGATGAATAAAATTTTGCAGCGATATGTTGAACGTATGAAATAGTGTTTAAGAGAATTTTTCGGTAATCAAGTAATGTCAACAATTAATTTGTGGTCGGATGGATCGTTTTGCTTAAAAATAGTTTTGGTTGTAAGTGAAATTGAAAATTTCCAAAGTTCGTCTTATGATTTTTGCTTAATAAACTTTGTATTCATTTTTTTTTTTCTTTTTTTCCAAATGTTTGCACAAGAAAATCTTGCAGAGAGTAGTTTCAAAAGCTTTAAACTCTTTTTTTTTTTTTCTTTTTTTTTTTGTTTCCTTTTTTTTTTCTTTTAACTTATAACTTATTTTCTTTAAAGTATAAAATTCTTAATAACTTTTTATATTTTTTAATTGAAAAATATTCCATGAAAAAAAATCACTTTTTTTCAAGAAAAAAGATGAAAAAAAATCAATAAAAAGAAAATTTGTTTAAAAATTAATAAAAATCCAAGTTTATATATATATATTTATATATAAATATATGTATTTATATACATATTTTTTTTCTTAATATAGATTAACACGATCATCACATAAAACCGAATGAAATGCAAATGCATCCCTCTGGTTGGTTAATCAAAGGTTATTTTTTTGTTTAGCTTATAGACATTAAGGATGAAATTGCTATAAAACAGCATGGGGTACTTATAAAGTAGTATTGAACCATCCGGTTAGAAAAATTAAATCTATATGTGTTTTTACTGTGTTATAAATTATTTCGTTTTAAAGAATTGCCCCTTAGGTTGGCCTTGCGTCTACAAGTTATTTGGGTCGGGTTCGGTAAGAGAGATTGCGATTAGTACTCCAGCTTATAGAAGAATAATTGTGATCTCTTCATTTGAAAGGTACTATCTCGAAGCTATACGCAACTGTATAACTGCATCAGAGTTTTGTGTCAAGAAAATAAAATTTAGGGAAAACTTTACTTTTCCTGATTAATTGAAATGGTAGCGCGGTTAAATCCGTACGAGAGATAAGCGACGGATGCGTTGCAATATTCATAACCTATGTAACCATAATAAAGAGCATATGAATCAGTTGCATAGGCCTTGATGGCCCCATTTGAAGCGATCAGCTGGGCGCTTGTTCCAGCCTAATGAAAACATCATCCAATAATTGATCCATTTATTTCAAAAAGTGGACTTTATATATCAAAAATCGTAATATCGTAATAAGTTTTTACCATGAAGGAATTCGGCTGCATAAAGCAAAAACTCGCGCGACTAATATTTGCAGTTCTATCCTCGATTAGCCTAATCATCCACCCGCTGTTATTAGTAGGTATTACTGTTACCGGTTAACAAAGGTTTCAATGGATGGCCTATTTATATGTTCGAACATTGTGTCGGGTCTTATGGCGTTACCTAAATATTCGTTGCTTTTAGGCAAACTTTTGTCGAGACGAATTTCAAAAGATGCCTGAAAGATGGAAAAAAGGTCTAATTAACGACAGACAATAAAATACCAATTTCTCTGAATGATTCTTCAAAGTTATAAAAAAAAAACAAAATGCCCTCCAAAGAGCTTTGTACACACAATAATTGAAACAACTGTACTTTGAGGTATATGCTTAGAACAGTGAGAAATGAAGAATTGAAAAACGAAGAACATGTAATGCATTCATATCGTGTGTGCTTTAGAGAGTAAATTGAACTAAAAAAAAAAAGTAATTTTTTAAGTAGAAAATGACAATGCGGAAGTCCACCGTCGACTGTTAACACTAATACCGAATTTATCGATTTCCTTAGATCGTAACTGCATTTTTTGTTGTTGTATATTTTAAGAAAGATGATGTTTTTAAATCCCTTCCTAAACTGCTCTATGAAGTTTTTTGAAGTTAAACAAAGAATCGAAAAAGGGCTTTGTGGTCGATTATGATCTGAGAAAAAACAACTGGCCTTAATGGTTAAAATGCAGATATATATATATATATATGGATATTATATATATGTATATACGAATATATGCAGATATATTAGATATTTACATGTAGATACATATATATATATGTATATATATATATATATATGTATATATATTGCTCGTTATATAAACATAAAAAAAAAAATTCGATATTTTTATTAGTCCTCCTAGATTTTGCCAACAGCTATCTTTAAAATGACGCTTTTTAACGCAAATCTGTCAAGTTCCAGATTATTATACCAGATTATTATAAGTACGCTCCATTTAGCAGTTCCAATTAGCACAAAAAGTTTTACTAGACGAAGGCTTTTAAAAGTTTCGATTGTTCAATCGTTTAGAAGCTTTACAAAGCCTATGAGTGGGTATACCTGTTCTATTAGATTTAAAAATTTTGATTATCAACAAGTTTATAAAAGGGACGTACAAATAAAATTTGAAAAGGCTCTACAAGAGGCTCTTTCTCATACGAATGAACACCCGGTTTCTTTCATTTAGAAATTTTAATTCTGAAGAATTTTAGACCTTGAAAGGACCTGGCCTAGTCAAATTAGAAATGGACGTCGTTTAAAAATTTTTAGAAAGTCTTTAAATGGAACGGGATCCCAAATCCCAATCAAAAATTTTGCATTATTCATAACTTTTAATATTTCATGCGGAATTTCTAAATGTCGAAGGGACAACGAGCCAAGTTCGTGTTCGAAATTCAGAACCTGGGGCCAGAACCTTTACATAAAAAGACAAGATTCAATTAATTGTGAAAGCTGTTTCATTTGCCTATGCCCACGCTTTACGAAAACTTTCTTTGTGAAAAGAAGAAGAATTGCTTTAAAACCTACGCCTCTAGAAAGGCACCTGAGTTAGATATGGAAATGAATTGTTCTTACTACTTAACCTTTGAAAAATTTAGTTTAACAGGCAAGCTAATATTAATTAACTCGTTAGCTATCAAAGTCCCTTAGGGGAAACATCTTGGAACAAATCTTACTTACGTATATGTAGAGCTTTCTAAAAAAAAGTAAAATAAAATTTCTATTAAAATAGTATTCTGTTATACCCTACGCCACTTGTGATATAAGGTATATTAAATTAGCTCAAACATATG